AAAGACCTATCTAGGAAATCAAGAACGAATCATGATGATTATTTAAGATCACACCTCTCCTGCCAGCCTCACAACTGAGATCTGAGGATGAAATGAGATGATGAATGTGAAAATTCCATGAAGACTGTTTGAAGAGTTATGCAAATACAAACTTGCTTTGTTGTTTCCATGTTGAGTTTAAGGAGAAGCCAGTACCCTCATTGGAAGCAAACTCAAGTTAGACTTTTTTAAAAAAGGAATGTGCAATCGTGGAAAATGGCTATTTCGGTGAAGCACACATCAGTTCAGCTCCCATGCTCCCCCCTTCGCAGAAACCTGAAATAGAGGTTTTGCAATTCTCCTCATTCCCCCAAAGTACTTCCTGGAGTGTCAAGGGATTCTTCCAGCAGAAGAAGCCTTTCTTCAGACAGCTCTGACCTAGCGAAGTACCCAGGGCAGGGCAAATGCTTTGGTGAGAGTGCAGGAGTTGGGATTTCCCCAGGCCATCCAGAAAGTCTGTGGCTTCAGTGAAGAAAGAAAAGGCTTTTCTTTAGAATGCAAATGCAAAGGCAAGAGAGACCAAGGATGACTGTCACCACCAGAGCAGCCTGTTAGTTCCTGCTCCACCTTTCCTTCCTTCAAGTAATTGTCCTTTCTTTCTCCTGAAACTCCACTAGCTTCATCAAAACCCCAGGGTATTGTTTTGCTCTGGAAGTTACTGTCCCTTGGTAGTTACTCCCTCCACCCCCATTTTAGCCTTTTATTGATTCTTTGTGGATTTCACATCATGCATCCTAATTCTAGGTTCCATTTACTTCTGTGTCCCCTTGCTTCCTCCTCCTGCCCTTGCAACCTCACCAACAAAACAACCACACACACACACACACACACACTCTCTCTCTCTCTCAAAAATCTCAGCATGGAAGCTGTAGTGTGGCCCAGTGAGTCACACAGTATACTCTTTAGTCCATACATCTTGTAAGTGTTCATTTTAGTGAATCTACATTGGCTGAGGCAGTACTGGGGAGTTCGCCTGGGTGGTGACGATGATGGAAAGTTGGCGGGCTGACAACCCAGCTACCACCCAGACCCAGAAACAGGAATATAAGTTAACCCAACATCAACCTCATGTATGTGAAGGATCTGGGCCTGCAGATCCAAAGCTGTAGGATCTCTGTGACACAAGGAAACAATAGGATACCAAGGAGTCCCAGTGAGGGCCCATTATTGATAGTGTAGCAGAAACCAGAGGCCTCGAACCAGACCAATGCCTTATTACAATGAACACTTAGTCTGTCCTTTTATACTTTTGAAAGACAGTACCCATTGTCAGCAATGACAAATCTTGATGATATAGTATAGTAAGACTGTGTTGTCATTGTCAAGTCTGTTTGTACCAAAGGGGACAGTTCTGGTGATGTGGAAACATTGACCACCCTCCTCAGTGCCTGTCAATACACAGAAGCTGAAAATTCACCACACAGTGGACAGCACACATGTTTACTATTGCATCATATGTACCAAAATAAAGTTTAAAATGTGGAGTGTTTTTGCTCTTGGGTTAAGAAGGTTCGTGTAATATTAAGTATCCCAGTGAAAAAAATGTGTATTTGGAAAATTGGTAAGGGCCAATTGTATCAGTCTACACTTGGAACACTTCAGATGAGTGGTGACTTTTACTAGATGTAATCATTTGGATAAAAAGTAAACTTAATGCAGAATTACCAGGGCATGAGTACATATTACAGGCAAGTTTGTTAAGGAGATAAAAATATCAAACTGTACTCCATTTTACCTAACAAATCCTTTTCTTGCTCACCCCTTCCTGATGCACTCATTGCCATTGCATAATATATCTTGGTGTTTGGCATTTTTATTCCATATTCCTTATATAGCAAATGAGTTTCCCACTTTTCCATTTGGCATAAGGTTATTCCACTCTGGCTTTAACCAGGCTTCTTCTGCTGACTGAGCTGCCCTCTCTCATGTTAGTGTTCAAAGTAGGCAATGCTAAAGTGAACATCTTTGCTGCAGTTAATTTTAACTTTCTGTGGGAAGTTTGTTTGTTAGAATAAATGGGGTGGTATTCCTGTGCCAAATTTCAAGGAATTTCTGGAAGGTGTAGGTTAGAGAAGTCAGGTGGAGACACAGAATTAAGTACCTCAGAATCTCCTGATGAGAATGTGGTGAGAGTCAGGACTCATGGGGATGTCTGTTAGAGCTTGCTGAAGTCTCAGGGACTAACTTCAGGGATGCTTTCTCATGGTCAGTCCAAATGTCAGTATTCTCACTGGAAATGGACCCCTTTTACTTAGAGGACTGGCTGCCACTTTCCTTCAGGGTTAGCTGTGGGTAGAAATGTAGGCTATGACTCTGGAATTTGGAGAAAATGATGGGGAGGAACCAAGAAGGCAAAACAGGGAGGTGTGGGTCACTCATGACAGAGGAACCAAGGTATCTTCATTTCTACCCTGGAGCCTGTAATGCTTTTCAAGTATTTAGCCATAGCCTCAGGAAAAACCATGGCTGCTCTGTGCAAATAGGACCTTGGAAACCTGAGGGGCTTTTCAGGTGTGCAGACATCAAAATTGCTGAAAAGCCTCAGATTTCCAACTCTCCCTTCACTAGCGGATTCAGAGAAAGGTCTGTCATTTATTTGCCTTTTCCATTTCAGCTAATGGGTTTCCATGAGTTTTGTCAAACTGCAATTAAATAACTTGGTGAACGTTGCCTTTGACGGAGAGTCTTTTCAAGAGAAACAGCATATTTCAGGAAAGGCAGAAAAGGGGCTACAAGGCAGGCCACATTGTGAGAGTTCGACTTTGTCATCACCCCGTCCTCTGGGTATATTGGTAATCTAGGGACTGCCGAGTTGGAAATCTGTTTCAGTCCATGTAAATGTGAACAGTTACTGCTTTGTTTACCCATTCTTGTGTGCATCTGCTTTGCCGTCCGCCCAGGCTCTACGTCCTGAAGACCTTTAAGTTGTTGCTTTTCATTCTCCTGCCTGTCACTGTACTATGAATAATACCAGTATCTATCTCCACCCCCCATGGTAAAAAATGTATGTAGGTTTTAGTAACCAGCATTCCACATACATACATACAACATTAATTTGTACCATGTCATTCGTTGTGCAATGCTGTTGGGTCACGACATGTCCTTACAGGTGTCTAGCTCTCCATCCTATCATTTTTCCAGACTCCCCAATCAAGAAAACACTCCAGCCAACCTTAATTAGAGCTTGCTCTGGAACCTAGAGATGACCATGGTGTGTTCCCACGCACACTGTGGTATGTATACATTTGTAAAATGTATACATTCTCATGCTCCATTACTGCTTTTAAACCCACTCGAAGGCCTTGAGAAGCGTCCAGGGACTGTTTGGTAGTGTTGTATTCTTGTTCTAGGCAGAATAATGGGATTAAAAAGTGATAAATGAGGAAGGCAGGGAGAAAGGATTTATAGTGCATGTTGCAAACAAAATGCAACTCACTGTGTTTTCTCTGAAAATCCCTTTGCCTTGGTGACTAATCCATAAAAGTAAGCCATCATCTGGGAGGCTGGCTGGCACTCAGCTGTGAATGAAGACAGAGGGGAGCAGAAAGAAGTCTACAGAAGGAGGTAATCTCCAAGCAAAGGGAAGGGGAAAGGGGGTCAGAATGAGAATACAGGAGGTCAGGATCTGGTGTAGTCAATGGGAAGAAGATTGGGTTGTGGAGATCACCGTGTTTCATGGGGCATCAGTTCTCACAGTAGTCACAATAGCATTGTGTTCATGTTGCGTGTGGAGAAACATCCCACTCATTTAGACTAAGGGTATATACTCCAGTTGATGACTGCTCTGACGTCATGCAGCAAGCGGATGGTAGAGCTGGAGCCAGGACTCTGAGCTTCAGGAATGCTGTCTCATGACATTTGCTTCTTTCCTATTTCAGGGAGAATAGGAAAGTTAGAATTCCTATATTCATCCAAGTGATAGAGGTCAGGCCTGGGCCATTTGATCACAGGACTAGGAGAAATAGAGCCAAGATGGAATGAATTTGTCCTTGCTGGCCTTGGACCAGTCAATGGCCCACAGATCTTCCCCATTTACGTGAACATGTTTGCTTGTAGGACACTTGAGCTCTGACTAGCTGCCAGGCTTCTGTAAATGCCACACACCTGGGGGTCTCCATGGCCCAAATCTAGGTTCAGGGGAGATGAGGGAGCAAACATCCTACAGCTCTTTTTATCACATAATTTCCTCTACTTACCTGTCTTTTGACATCAATTAAATACTGCTATAAAGTAAATTGATTCATAACTCTTGGTTACTACTTTTTATTTATCCTGAAATGATACTAGCTTGGTGGTGGGGAATATTATTTTAAGGTGTGTTATTTTTGCTTATGCTGCATTGTTTAACTCTGTGAAGCTGTGCTACTTTGCCTGTCTAGAACACCCGATGGCCTAATAAAGAGCTGATTGGCCAACAGCAAAGCAGGAAAGATGAATAGGTGGGGTTGGTTGGCAGGCCGACAGGGAGAATGTGAGGAGAAATCTGGGATCTAAGATCTGGGAACCAAGAGGAAGAAGGAGGACTTCAGGGGCCAGCCACCCAACCACACAGCCAGACATGGAGCAGAAGGAGAGAAAGGTGCACAGGAATAGAGAAGGATAAAAGCCCCAAGGCCAAAGATAGATAAGGTAATTTAAGTTAAGAAAATCTGACTAGAAACAAGCTAAGGGCAGGCATTCATAACTGAGAATAAACCTCTGTGTATGATTTATTTGGGAGCTGGGTATAACTTCCCCAAAATCAAAAGAATAATGAACCCAAAGAGTAAAACATTGCACAGAAGCTTGGGAACTTAAATTAATTCATCTCCCTCAAGCTGAATCCCATGGAATCTGCAGGAACATAAGAAAGTATTTTCTACTGAAAATACCTTGCATTTGTGGTCACTATCTGTATTTCCAAGTACTCCTCACAAGCAGCTACTATTTTAACAGCATCTCCTTTTATTTTCCTTCCCCAGAGTCGAAAACATGCAAGCAAAGTCCGACTGTATTACATGCTTCACCCCAGGGATGGTGGGTGCCCTGCCAAGAGGCTCCGGGCAGAAAATGTGAGTATGTGGTACCACATGATGTCATGAGTAATTTGCTATGGATTTTGTAGGTGTAAGAATTGTAGGCGTGTCTAGCTGAGTGCCAAAGCTAAAAGAATAGAGGTAATGATCATTTACAGGCTGTGTTACAGAGGGGGAGAGATTCCTGTCTATTGGCATGCTTTTTCCTTTCCACCAGAACTTGCTCATACCCTCAGGCTTTTGATGATGTTTCTCTGCAGCCCTTCAGAGAAAGAAGGTGCAGAGGTGCTGGGACAGAGCCAGTGTGGGTGACAGGAAGACAGAGCCACCAAAGACAAAATGTGGGAAGACAAGACCTACAGGGCAAAATTGTCAGAAATACCAAATGCTTTGTTCTTTACATATTTGATTTCTCTGCTGTGTAGAATGGAATGTCAGCTTGTTAATTTATAATGAAGACTGTACATATCTGCTGCAAAGAGACATAATTGGGCTTTTTGATCAGTGACCCCCTCTCCCTGTGGGAGAATTTACTTGGGAAGACAATGAAAGTTAGGAAGTTGTTTGAGGTATAATGTCAGAGCACTGGGTTCATTCCAGCCAGGCTTTTCTCTTGGCAGGGACTGCTAGGTGGGACATCCTCATCCTCTAGCTACAGAAGTCCTGCATACTAACACTTAACATTAAACACATTAAATATTGGGTTCTGAGAGGCTGTGATGCCAAATTGGTGCCTTGTGTTAGCAGTTTGTAGGCATTGATCTTCTTTTTAATAAGTGATCATTGAAAGAATATTGCAGAACCTGGATTTGTGGGGAGAGTGGGTTTTGGGAAGAAAACAAAGGATCACAAAACTGCTTGTGCCTGAAGGCAGAGAGTCCTTGGATTGTCCCCTCACACCAATGTCTTATATGCACTTAGCATTGTAACATGATCTGGTTGCCAGTAGACTGACACTACAGTACACTACAGTTGTCATCAATGCCAGACAAGGCAGTGTTTGAAGAAAAAAACAACACAAAAAAAAACAAACAAAAAACCCAGTGGCATGGAAAGTTTGCAAACTGTCGAGACCCAGAACTAAGTGCATTTCACTTTGACATCTGACACAAGTAATCGATCTTGTGTCGCCTCTGTGGAACACTAGTAATTACACTTTCCTCGCTAGGTTTTGTGACTGTTACATGAATCGGTAAACACAATGTACATTGGCAATGTAGTATAACGAAGAAACAAGTAGACAAGGCAGAAGTACTGGCAAGATAGTTGGGAGAGTAGTAAGAGCTTAGAGATACACAAGGATTAGCTTTGATAGTACAATGCATTGGTTAGCAGTGTTCAAAAAGAACCACAGAGGCAAAAGGAAGGGGATAGGAGAATCCTACAAGAAGGTCCCAGTCATGGAAACTGGTTGCTGAAGGGCTGTCGTTTGCTGGGCTCTGGGATACGAGTGGAGTTCATCTGATGGAGGGGGCATGCAGGAGGGAGGCAAAGGATGCCAATGTCTTGACCGCATGCCTGTCAAAACCACTTGCTAAGCCACAGATGAGTGAGCCTTAATCAGCTTTTGCCGGACCTCAGAATCCTGCTCCTACATGGAAATCGTGCCTTCTACTGATGAACAGGTAGAGCAGAACTGCTTGTATTTCCCAAAATAACCCTGTAGTGGTACCTGGATCCTTCCTTGGGAGTCAAGATTGCTTTACTCTCACAGTCAGGAGATGGTGCACTTCACTGGATAAATAGCTATTTGGACATATATTTATTACTTACATATCATCACGAATGTCGCACTTGTTTGTGAGCATCTTGACCTATAAGGGCTAGGAACTGAAAAGGAATGGGCTCAGACTGACTTTATATTAGTAGGCTGGAGGACATGGCCTTTACTTCTTTGAGAAGATTCACAATTTGTCTCACATGGGCTCTGTTCTGGCCAATAACCTTGGACATAGTTCAGAGAAGGGGAGAGATTTGGATTTTAGAACAAGGAGAATTATTTTCAAGGCTTCTTTACTTAATACCCCTTTGAAAAATCCCCTCCATGCATCCTGGGTTTTGGAAAATTTTATCTACCAATAATTTATTATTTATCAAACCATCTTCTATAACTTATTAATCATACTATGAAAGTGAATCATGAACAGAAAAGCAACAAGCTAATCCTGCTTTAGGTGAAGACATGGTTGGCAATTTTGCTACCCCCATGTATACATTTCACAGAAAGATGCCATTTCCACTATGCATTCTGATATGCTGGGTAGAGTTCAGAAACCATTTCAGCTCCTGTCCGGGGCTCTGAAGGCATGTGCTGTATCGGGAGTAACTTGTCTTGTGCAGACTCACACCAAGAAAGCCAGAGAATGAATTTACTGTATTCAATGACCAACCCATATAGAAAAGGAGAAGACTGACTCCCAGCTGGTAGTATTGAGTCCAGCCAAGGAGAAAAATCTGCTGTAAGTTGTACTTAGATAATGGTGGATTGCTCTTTCTGAAAACAATCCGAGAAACCCTGCGTTAACTCTATAAGAGGCATCCAACTGAACTGTTCTTGATCAGTGACAGCATCCCTAATCCTCTATCCCTTGCTGCCAGTTTCTGGACCAAGTGAAGAATGGTAGGCATGCACCCTGAACAGTGGTACAGGGTGCTTTTCCTCTAGCTAGACCTCCCCCAGCATCCCCCACAGCAACCTATAATCAGCACATGAATGCCTGTAGGCTTCCTTGTTTTCTATGAGGAAGCCTCCTCCTTTTCCTGCCTTAGAATCTCCCTTAAACCCAAGTGATGGTGGCTGGCTCAGGAGTATATCAAACGCCATGTAACTAGCTTTTGCACTTAGTAGAGGGTTTCTGCTTGTTTCCACAGGGCTGTAACACGAGGATAAGAGCAGCTTCAAACTCACAGCTTCATACGGACGTCACTCATGTTTGCTTAGCGCTTTGTTTTCACACATTACTGCCGGGGCCATCTCTCTGCCAGCCACTCTGGTTCCCTGAAGGATCCACAGACAGCTCTTCTGACTTCTGCATTCCTTCCAGTCTCCCTGATTCCTGGTGCTTCCGCATCTCGTCCTTAACTCCAGGAAAGGGGTGGCTTCTGAAAGCAGAAAGCAGGTTCCTGGGTTTCCCTAGGCTCCTTGTGCATGTCCCTCCTACCCTACTTGCTGCCCTAAGAGGATATGTGGTACCCCCACATGTAGCATGGAAGAGAACAGCCTATGTTTTAAAATCCTCCATCCATTTCTGCCTCCAGTTTTAGTGTTTCTGGCTTCCTCAAATCCCCTTCATTTACCTGTTCTTAAGACTCTGCAGCTGAAGCTTCTGTACCTCCCCTTCTCTCCCCTCCTTTTCTCTCCCCTCCTCCCCCTCCCCCAAATGTCAGGCAGGACATTTCTCTTTGAGGCCAAAGAGTAGAATCAAATATGAAATCAATTTTTACAGCTGATTGTCTTAAAGACATTTTCAGTAATTCTCGACACGCTCAAGTCAGATGGACTTGAGAGATGCACTAGCTCACACTGGCTCTGCCTCGCACCACCGGCCTTCTCATTATCCTCTCCCCGTGGATCACATGCTTTGCAAACATCTAGTTAGGAAATAGTACTTGAAGGAAAACTGGGGTTTAGATTTTCTTGCTTTTGATTCTCGAAAGGCACAAACATCTGCCAATCAAAGTTGCCAATCACTACTAAGTAAACAACACATTTTTATATAGTTGTTATATAATTCCCTATAAAGGGTGAAGCTTGTGTTTGGTTAATGTGATTAGAATGCATGGATACACTTTGAGGTCTGAAACTTTCAGCATGACTTGAGGACCTTCAGATCCCAGCCATCTTGGAATCCAGGTGGGAGTTGAGTCTAGAACATTTTTTATTACTGAGGTCAAAATAACTGAGCTTATCTCCCTACTTCTTTCACTCCTGTCCCACTATGTCTCAAAGCTCTGACCTTTGACATTAGTGCTGAGTCCTGATCTAGAGCAATGCTACTGGTACTTCCCACATTTTCTTCAGTTGTGTTCTAAGCAAATGATATACTTTAATAGTGTTCACCCTCAACCTCTGTGTAAGGCAGAGACAGGCATTGTCTGCACGCAAAGAGACTGAATGACTTGACTCCCCTCAGACAGCTGGTGAATGACAGAGACATATCTAGGAAAACAGAAAACAAAATCAAAGAAAGCTCTTTTTCCTGGGTGTGCTTCAGGAGACAGCTTGCATGCTTCCCTAAGTGCTGGAAGGCACTAGATCCTCCCCCATTCCAAAAGAGTAGGGGAGTTCTATTTGTAACCCCTGTGTCTTATTACAATGTGCTCTGTGCTTCTATTGAGTGACTGAGCACGGGGAGAGTGTTCCTAGTTGCCCCTGATAGGTTAGGTTCAGGCTTGGCTTTCTAAGCATGAAGACTCTTAGCTAATTCTTGTGAACCAATGGGAAAAGTGAGAGGGCTTCTGTGAGTGTGGGGTCGATGTGAGGCATACATAGTGTTAGGGAGTCAGGACAGAAGCCCAAGGCATTCCTAGTATGATAGCACTCTGGGAAGTGGTGGCATTCAGAGTTCCAGGAGAGAAGAAGATAAAATGACGTGAAGTGCTCCCTCTGAAGACTGGGGGGGGGGCTGCTACTTGCCTCTCTCCCGTCTGCGGTGGCTGCTGCAATCCCTGGTTCATAGCCTGTGCTCCATTCTCTCTGTACTCTCACCTTCTAGAAGGATCTCAAGAGAGGGGATTTAACAGTGATGTTTAGATCCCATTTCCAAGTAAGAGCTGATGTCTAAAAGGTCACCAATGTGGAGGTTAGATTATTCATCAAATACAGCATTAGAAACAAAGTGTGGGTTAGACACTGAATGTGGCGGCATGTGCCCGTGGTCATAGCACTTAGGAGTTGGAGGCAGGAGTATCAGGAGTTCAGGAGTTCAGATTCATTCTTGGTTACATAGGGAGTTTGAAGACAGTGAGAGAGGAGAAAGGAGAGAAGGGAACGATCCAGGAGAGGAGGGAAATAGATATAGGTAGGTAGATAGGTA